ATTTTGAAAACGTGACCCGAGTTCTCGTCATAATAGTTCGGTATTACAAAGTATTTAAATGAGCCCTACTTGTCAGACCGTATATTTACTTGGTGGGAAATGAATTTTAATTTGATAATCACAGGACGGAACATGTTATGTTGCTAAAAGTGGTGTAATTTGAATCCTACGAAAGTCTTTGTTCAAATTTTGGAAAAAATTAATTTTGTTCGCGTAGTTTAAACATATCATGATGGGGTACATTTGGGAGTTAATTGCTCTACACACCCAACGGGAGTTCCCATTACTGTACGTGCGCAACAAGCAGGTTGTAAATCTGGTATGATTCAAATAAATGATAAAATGATGAAAATTACTCCGGATACAATTATCTAATCGAATTAAATGGAACATAAAAAATACCCCCACAGAGCCGAGCTTAATTTTGAATTTTTCGCATGTGTGTGTGCATTTATTTGCATGTTCAGTACTCGTTCGTTTTTGTATATATATTACCTTATTACTGATCAGCCGATCGCGAGCTATTTTGAAAGCGGTCGAAAGCAGGTTGGCCTTCCCTGATTTAGCTATTTGCGACTTGAGCAAGAGTTTGACTCTTCTTAGTCAGTTTAGAAAAAAGTTTTTCTGGTGCAAGAAAGACCTGACTTATTGTTCATTTTCTGTCTTTCGTATCAGTACTTATATACCCTGCTCTCATTTGTTTCATTTCTCATTTGAGGAAGTGAAAATGTGCTCTGTATAAAAATTTTATATTGAGACTTTGGAGAAGCAAAGTTATAAGTAGGGATGGGCAAAATCGAACATTTTAATGAGTTGTTCTGGTCTACATTCGTCGACGTTGAAGCCAGGAAAACCTCTGTCTCACTAGACATAAAACTGTTGATGTTTAATGAAGACCGATGATCTCAAAACATAACGCGCTTTCGGTGTTAATTTTGTGTTAATCGCCGATTGTTTTTTGTCAGCGCGATTCATTTTGGTGTGTCGGCACCCGAAAGTTGGCAAGCTAACTTTCCAGCAGTTCTTCATACGCAATAATCGTCGCGCCCCGGCGGCCATCAAAATTTTGTTTTTCTTTTGAAGTAAATTTACAAACCAAATTTCTAAAACAATTTTATTCTGATTTTATTTTGACGTTGGCTCTGATCGTTCTTATATAACTGTGTTTCCTCGAAAATAAGACGTAAAAAACCATTAGGACTTATTTTCGGAGAATGTCTTTTATTTTCATTGATCATAAATAAAATTACAGAGTGGAGAATTACGAGATTTTCAAATATACAAAATATGAAAAACGATATCCATTTACTTATAAATCACGTTTTTCTCTCTCACGCTTTTTATATTAATCATTTAAATTTTAAAACGTCTAGGAGAGATTTTCTTGCTATCGATAAAGTAAAAAAAAATTGCGCTATTGACTAGGATTTAAGCGTTTGCTTCAGCGACGCGCGATTTCTCTGTCAAAGTAATGGTTTTCGAATACTTTAATGCGGGGGTGTGCAACCTGCATATGCAGCCCGCAAGGAAAAATTATGCGCCCGCGGAGAGGTGCCGATCTTGAATGATGTGCGGCTCGCGAAACGATTTTAGTTTAATCTGGTACATTCGAGCAGTTCCAATCCCTTTGCGTAACAAACCATATACCTGAGTACAACTTATTATCTAAGTCTTAATTATATTTAGGGCTTACTTTGTTTGAAACACTTTTTGCTTCCGCGACGCGTGATTTCTCTGTCAAAGTAATGGTTTTCGAATACTTTAATGCAGGGGTCGGCAAACTACGGCAGCTGTTTAGACGGAAATATTCTTTATGTAACATATTCTTCATGTAAATTAAATTATATTATAACGTAGCAAGTATATAATTCACAATTACTCGTCTAATGAGCCTATAATTTAATTATAATTAGACAAATAGCAACAAAACGCAGAAAAGTTGATGCTAAGTGCAAATGGCTTAATTAATGGCGCGGACAATATTCAAATTGTTCATTTTTTATTAGCAGTAATACTTCATAGGGTGTCAGGACTCAGAACTAGATAACCGTCTGCAACTACTAGAAAGCGCATATGTTAAGTAAAGGTGCGAAACGCGTTTTCAGTCAGATATTTGTATCTGATTTAAACGATTGTTTTGCCAGGTTAGAGTTATGCCATAAAAAAGCAACCTTTCCGTTAAATTCCTTCCTTCGCGTATTTTAGTATTTATTCCCAAGTTATCCTTAGCTATTATTGTGTGCAAGTCTCATTCCCACTTTCGTACAGTTCATATTTTTATGAATAAATGAGTATCGAGTGACTCCAAAAGACGGAATCCATTAAAATCCGAATTAATTCGAAGTGGAAGGAAAAGAAATTCACTTTGTCTGTGCTGGAATTTCTATTTGTGCATGATTATACTCAAAGTTTCATGAATCTAGGAATGTCTCTCTAGAACAGGTGTTCTCAAACGGTGGGGCGCAGACAATTTTTTGAGGGGACGTGAAGCTAATTAAAATTGAAAATATTTGGTATATTTAATCCTGCTTTTGGGAACCATTCCTCTGGGATATGGTATGTTCCAAATAACCTCCTTGGCATCAGAGACAGATTAGAACCCGTTGCGCAAAATTGTCAATTCCTAACTTGCTGTTTTGCTGAAACGCTTTTTTGTCGTCAGGAAGCGTCAAAAAGCAATAGTAATGGCGCGGCTCATCCGAGGAAAGTCTTACAGAGACCGTTACACTCAGTAAAGTGCTCGGCATAGGTAATTATTTTCAAACACGGCATAATCGGTCCGCATTGGTTTGAAATGAAAATGAAGAACGTAAAAATGTACGTTACGTGATCATGCCGAGGTAGTTCTGGACATTACTCTGACGATGTAAAAGAAAGAATCGATATGACCAGGAGCAGCATGACAAGGCAATCCCACACACACCAAACAACACCCTTGAGTCTCTTTTCTGTAACAAATTTGGTTTTTAGACTTTAATATTCTCCATTTATATATTGATCGACTCTTATCACAGGTGTCGCTGCTCGATAACCAACTTTGGTTTTTCGCCTCACCCTTCGCCATGAAATGTCATTTTCAACTTTTTATTAACTTTATGTCCACAGTAAGTGCATTTTCATCTTGGTGAAAAATAAACTAATGACTGACTTGACTGCATGGCTGAGTAATCGATTACAGTACAATCATTGGTAGGGTTTAATAAGATATTCCTTGTTGTTTGCTGGCTAAACTGTTGTTATCTGATCTGACATATTCATGATTCCGAATGCATGTATTGCAATTGTATATATTTACAAATACAAAGAACAGTTAGTTTTAAAGCATGGCTGAAAAGCCAGATAAAATCAAAATTTCAACGACGCACGACGAGTCGATAATTCTAGCTGCCATTGTCTTTGATGCCTCCCTAACAAGCGGTCATTACTTATCGACCTCGATCGATAAGTGTGTTGATAGGTATTTGTCTGTTTTTTTGTTTGTTTGTGTGTTCGAAACTTTCGTATGTTACGCGATATTTTACGAAAGCGAAGTTGAATCTGCTTCAAATTTCGCATGTGCATTCATCATATCTCGGACCAGAAGCCTATTGATTTTGGATAAATTATGTCACATAATTTAATAATGTAGAGTTATTGATTAATTAGTGATGGGACACGCGGTTTCGCTATTGAGTCAGAGCGATATAATCGAAACCGCAGATTGATAAGTCGGCGGTCTCCGATCGCTATCTAGTTCATAAGTTATGGTATCCCGAGGACATGACGCTGTAAAGTCATAGAAGCAAACAGGTGTTGCGTTTTATCACTTTGGGTCACTTCTAATTTTGATGTATGCGTAAGATTAGAATTAAAGATGTTTACAAGTTTAACCACGTACGACTATTATCCAAAAGCAGCTAAATTATCCAATATCCCACACATTCACAAACAGAAGTTCAAAGTGGACATTTTCATAAAAGTTATTGAGAAATTTATGTGGTCCATTTTAGGTCCCCCTGCATCATCGTAATATTAACTAATGATCATTAATAATAACGCATAAAATTATTCTCGGTTGCGAAACTGAGTCTTTGTGTCTTTTAATCTAGTCTTCTCAAATCTTCTTTTACCGATCCCCATACACAACACCCCTCAACACACACAAAGTAGTATTATGCAAAGATTATATATTCAACTAAGTGCATCGCAAGCGGTTGAATTACATCAAAACTGTCAGGTCAATGTCGAATAAATGTCGCACATCATGTCTAGTACAATTATATTATATATACCGTATATCAAGGACGAAAAGGTGTGAGGTCATAAATTGCTTAGATATGGTTCTATTCGACGCACGTCGGCCTACAAGTCACAACGGGTTTTGGTATACCAGGACGTATGGTAAGCCTAAACAATATCAGTATTTTGAATGTAGGCAATAAATAATAAAGAGCGCTCCAGAAGTATGTGTACCAATATGGAGGTAACTGATTTTGTTTGCCTATTTTACACGAGTTGTATAAAATGACTGAAACCTATGGGCAGGGGGTATATTCACTTGGTAAACACACTGCAGGAGTACCGAATAAAGTACTGCCAGATCCGTACTGCCAGATCCATACATAAGGCTTATAAGGCGCACGATCGAATTTTGAGAAATAAAAAAAGGATTCAAAGTTCACCCTATGGTCAGTAAAATATGGTAAATAAACTGAGGTCTTAATAGTACTTTCCAGTGTCACAAGAAACCATTATTTCTCAAAAAGCCTCAAATCAAGTACCCAGATTTTGGAATGCGGGGGTGGAAGGGGGGGGGGGGGGGGGTTCAGTGTTCACTTTTAGGAAATTATGATTGCGAAAGTACCTCACAGTTCTCGCAAAAAAGTGCACTGACAGTGTACACTGGTAGGTACATTATGCTATGAAGATATGGATATAGGATCAACACAGAAGGAAATCAGTTCAGAGAAAAGCAAACTTATTGGTGAAAGAATTTTTGCAGAATTGGTCAGTTTTGCAGAAAAATGAATGCACGAAAAACTCATGTAGACTTCATAAAGTAAAATTTTGCACATATCATTAATTTTTCTAGGCAACCAAAACGATTTTCCGAAATTTTGCGATCGAAGTTATTTAAATTCCAGTATTTTAAGATATCGCTTCTCAAACTGTTTTCCGCGCAACATGTTCTACGAGCTTCTTCACGGTGCTCCGCAGAACAGGAAGCACAATTGCTACTAAACTGGTCGCCATGGTGATAACGGTCGGACTTTGGCGACTCTGGGTTGTAAATTTGTCTCCCAAATGGGGACAAACAGACGGATAGACTTTGAGCCATATCGGGAACATGGTGTTTTCGTTAATCGTTTAATATCGTTAAGCATTGGCCGAATTTTTACTTGTAAAAATTACTGCTAATTTTAAAATTTCACCATAGGCTAAATTTTTTTGAAGCTACCACCAATTTTACCTTCTAATTACTAGGTGTTCCGCAAGGCAAGAATTCGTAGATGATCTGGGGCAAAAAAGTTGGAGAAGCAATGTTCTAAAATATTATCCGATTTACGGCACGCTTGCAAAACATTATCATCAATGCACATTTACACCACATTAATAATTGAGTGAGTATAGCTTACCTCTGATGAGATAAAATTCCAAATACAATATTAGCATGCTCAATTGCACAAATGAGAAATTCATACAGGACTAAAATTACACAAATAAATAATCTTTTATGCTACTGTTAGATAGGCATCTAGGGAACTTTAAGGCAAATACTGGTATTAATAAAAGAAAGAACCAACTACATGTAAAAGATAATTTTACCAACTAATAGTTTCATATATAGTAAACAGCAGAAGATTTGCCACAGTATTTTGAGAGCTCAATTTTTGACAATTTTCTGACATTTTCGACAAAGTTAATAAATATGAGCACAAACTCATACATACTAAAAGACTTATGCTGTATACCAGTCAGTGGTTTTCATCCTTTTATGGCTCGTGGCCCTCTTTCGGAGATTTTTAGCACCCATGCCCCCAGGGTTATCATTCCAGTGGTATTAAAAGTGTTATTTGGACTGGTATATCCCAAATCACATTATGTTTAATTAAACAATTCATGCATAAAAAAGCAAAACCATCAACTGAAATAACCTTATCGAGCATTAAACTGGGAAAAACGGAGTTTTCTTGTGAAGTGAGGTAAAATCAGTTTGGCACCTAGCATTGTGACCCCCTCCAACCTCTGTTGTAGACACAGCTGTGTTGGGTTGTCCAATTTTTGAGTTATTTTAATAAATCAATCATTAGAGAATAAATCAATGATAAATAAATCAATCATAATTTAGAGATACTTTCCTTCACATATGGTGGGAAATAAAATTAGCCAATCATAGGTGAGGCATTGCTTTGCCTCTGTTAATTTAGTTTCAAATAATATTCGAAGACAATCACCAATAGTCCTTCCAATAGTTCCTTCAACAGAGCCTTGTTTAGAAAGAACACGCACAAACAACGAAATAATGTCTGCCGTTCTTGGTTACAATTAAAACATAACACAAGCAAATTATCTTGTCTTGATTATAAGTTCTCTATCGGGATAGATACGAGAAAATTGAATTCATGGCACTGCGAGATCCAGTTGGAAGGAAATAAATAAAGACTGCTTGTTCATAGTGAATTTGTTCTGAGTGAATTTATGAAAAGGACTCGTAAAAAGAAGTTGAGTACGAAATAAAATATTTGGCTTCAATTTTTCTTCAAACAGAGAACAAAATTAAAAAAGTTTTTATATATAAATGGTTTTCCTAATTGAGATAAACAAACGGAGAAAATAGTGAAAGATTTGAAAATACAGGATGTCCATAAAGTCTCTTTACAATTTCAATTTTGTTATGAAGTCAGTTCTCAATATATCTTAACCAGGTTTGCTGGTTAATTATTTTTACTTCATTTAATACATCTTTAATGGCCAAAACAATATATGGCATCAGTAATAGGCCTTTATGGATACCCTATATATATATTTCCCTCTTATTTTACAACAAAATATCAGATCACCGATATGACCAAAACAAAATAATCTATTATTTTGATGAAAATTCTGAAATAATAATTTCGACCATGGAATGTTGTAAATTGTGGTATAAGTAGCAGATTTTTTAAAAAACTCCAAAATAATGACATCGAAAATCAAGCTATGATAAAAATATAAAAATATTTTTCTGGTTAAATTTGACTTTTTATGCTTCTGATATAACATATCCGTGTTCCTATGTTTTCTTTTCCATCATAAAATAATAGGTATACATAAATATATCCATAAAAATGAAAAAATAAAACTTAAAAATAATAACATAGAGCATAAATTATATAATATTGCTATTCTTCAGTAAAATTATCACACATTGGCTAACATAGACGAGCCTAAGTTGACCGGGAGCAGTGGAGAAGTTTCTTCAATTGCCTGAAAATAGAGTTAATTAGAACAGATAAGACAATAGTTTTTTGTTGTATGATTTTAAATATTAACAATTTATTTATTATTAAATTTATCTTTGGTGCTGGCTTTGATCGTCCTTACATAAACCTAGCTAGGACTTTTAATCTAACAAACATAATTTAACGTGTCCGTAAAAATCCGCCGTAGGAAATCTCGCCGCATGGTACTTCAAAAACCAAACTGTTCTTATCACAAATACTTGTTTTACAGCAAAATGCTCTTGTGGCGATTTTTCCTGCGATGAAATTTCTTACAGCGAAATTTCATGCGGCAAGTTTTACTAGAACTATAATTTACTATTTTTAGACATTTGGAAAGATAATAATAGGCTTTTTACATTTATCCCGAGGAGAGGGAAAGAGATTAAAGGCACATCTTAATCACATGGCAAACCACTGCCTCTTGTCCTGTTACCAATCCACGTCGGGTATGAGAATAGCCAACAAGTTGATTGTTTGATTGACATGGACTTGAGTGGGCAAGAAAGTGACAACAGCGGCTAATTGAACCCTGGCGTTCCCTATCTTACACCAATATATTGATTGAAACAACTCCACAATTAGCACACGTGCGAATCCAACCGGTAGAAAATCCCACTCCCTAAGGGGCCACAGAGCAGTTGGGGGGCGGTGTAGCACAATGCTAGGTGCAAAATTCATTTTACTTTTCACTTTACAAGAAAACTCTTCTAGTTTCATTGCTTGATAAGGTTTTTTCACAGGGCGTTTTCACCTTGTGGAGCATAAATTGTTTCAACATAATGGGATTTGGAATCTACTAATCAAAAAAACACTATAAATACAACTTGGAATGATAAACATGAGCGCCACGAGTGCCAACAGCCTTCGGAATGGGGCCACAGGCCTTTAAAGATTGGCAACCACTGCAATGCAGATCGAACAAAAACGGAAACAGAGTATGTATGAGGCATAAGTAAATCAAAAATAAGAAAAGGGATGAATTAATTGCTCACCTAGCTAGCGTAAAACAGTAGGATATCACATTCATTGTTGTAGAGTCAGATGGACAGGTGAAGGCAACGTCTTATTCCTGACCATATTGTCTAGTCCCTGAAATTTGATAAAAGAAAGAATTAGGATAATTTCATCCAAAAACCTGCAATTTGAGAAATTGCAATAGCTCAAGAAAAAAAAATCTTATTGCTAATATCTCCAGAATAAAAAATGGTTATGGTAACTTCAGAGAAAAACGAATTGGTTGTATTTTTTTACTCATCAAAATTCAATTTCTTTTGAATTAACGATAATTCATGCTGAATAAGTTATATATATGGACAATTCTTTGAGGGGACGTGAAGCTAATTGAGAATGAAAAATATTTGTTAGGTTTGATCTTTCCCAGCTTAGTTTGTATATTTACATTTCTTCATTGTTTATTTAGAGATTGCGATTTTATCAAAATTTTTTCAACATCTTTTTTTGAATAAAACAAACTTTTGCCGGTGCTCCCGAAGTATGCGAACCAAGATGGCGGACATCGGAACATAACATGGGTTAGGGTTAGGCCATAATTTTTTTCGAATTTTCCTTATTTTAGTCCTATTATCAGTTCGAAGACTAGCCAAGAGCCTCACGTAGTATTTATACCTAAATTTATGGCCTAACCCTAACCTAGTACACATATTACATTCCGATGTCCGCCATCTTGGTTCGCATACTTCGGGAGCCCCCTTTTGCCTTATTATCTGTTCTGTGTAGCTTATTGTTAGCTAGTTATTTTCGAAGTGGGGCGCGAGACTTGACAAATTCTAAGAAGGGAGCGGAGCCTAAAAGTTTGAGAACCACTGCTGTAAGTCCAGCTCACCTCTCCAGCATACGACAACAGTGGAGAAATCTCGACTTGTACCGGATATTCCCTTTCAGTATTTGAGCAGCTGCAATATATGAAAAAGTAACAGTTTTAAGAATGATTCAATGTTTGTGTATTATTCTTTATTATTTTATACAGATGAAAAGCATGATCTAACCCAGGGTTACTCAACTATTTTTACCAAAGATCCGCAAACAAAACTTCAAAATTATTTGGGTCCGGTCTTTCAAGAAATTATATTTCAGCATCCTTAAACGAGCATTTCCTCGGCCGGCTAATGATTATTGCCAAATCAAGATTATTTATTATGGTGTTATAGTTCTTTTCATATATATTCAAAACAATAAAAGTCATTTTCTAAAAGGAAACTGGAAAAGTGGGGCTAATGATCCAAAATAAAGAATTAGGTGCAGCCCGAATCCAATACTTGAAAGGTTCGAATTCGGACCGCAGCCCGCCAGTTGAGTAGCCCTGATCTAGTGTACCAATTGTACATTAGATAGCAATGGTGTGCAACCTTTTATACAGGAGGACCATATACAGATATATCTGGGTAAAACAGTGCAACTGTAAGAAAAAGTGATTGTTTTTTAAATGAAATAAGACCAAGCATAGTAATTTTTGATTTCGGAGGATATGCTTGTCGAAAAAATTTTCTGAACACTTTCCTAACGAAACACTTGAAATTAGAGCAAGGGTGTGCAACCTTTAATACAGGAAGGCCACATACAAGTAACTGGGTGAAACTGTGGGCTGCATCTTTATAGGATTTTTAGTACTAAAATAACTTTGGTTAATTATTTTATGACATGTATTGTTCGCTTAAGATATGCTATTTGTTAGAGCCTTGTAACATCATAGGGATAGATGATGAAGTCGACTCAAGTATAGGCTTTGCAAAGCAAAGGGATTGGAACTACATGCACGTCCCAGATTAAATATTGGTAAAAAAAATGATCGATAAAGTGTGTTAAGTTTAATAAAATATGCAAACCTAACAAATATTGAATTATATTTGAAAACAATATACATTATAGTTATTTACTCTCTTATTTGAATGGAAATTCGCAGGACCCTGGTTAAAAAGAGTGACGTGTGCAATATCTCACCTCTCTTCAACAGTGATGACCTTTCCACTTTGATCTGCGATCTGTCCACCAGCAGATGCTATAAGTCTATGATGCAAAGACATGAGAGCCCATCGAGAAGTGCGAGGATTTGAGTCTCCTCCAATTCCGTCTGGTTTATCTGCATTTTTAAGCGGAGAAAATTCATCTTCTCGTTTTACCTCAAGAACTGCAAACCTCCTGAAAAATAAAGGTCAAACGATATCATAAAGGTCAATCGATTTACTGAAAGAGTATCAACCACTTTTACTATTTTCACCGAAGATTCACAAGGTTTACAAACTTCAAAATTACCGGGGTCCGGACATTTCAAAAAATTTATTTCATTAAAGAAACGAAACTTCAAATGCAATATTAAATTAAATACAAGAGCAATGAATGGCTCAAAATTATGGTCACAAATGTCGCACATCGGTACCAGTACGGCAAACTGTATGAAAAAGCTGTGTATGTAAATAGAATCGAAATAATCTAAAACTATAAAACGATGCTTGTCATGCCAAAATAAAGAAGTAGACATGGTCTAAATTGAATGGTCGAAAGGTCCAGATTCAGACAGCGGCCCGTCAGTTCAATAGCCCTGGCATAGACGATATGCGAAAGACCCGGTTATTTCATCGCAAAAAAAATACGTCGTCAATAAAGTAGTAAAAAAAATTTCATGGCAGATTATTCTATCTGCAGAAAAAATTAATAGGCTACATAGCAAATCCCAGTAGATGAATTTCTCAATTTTTTATAACTTTGTTTAATAAAAAGAATCGTCTCAAAAGTAATGATTGTCATTTTGAGAAAAACAATCTGATTCTATCAAATTTGTTGAAAACCATTGCTATAAACCAGAGTTTCCCAAACTGGGTTCTGCGATGAATGCACAGGGGTCAGCAACCATATAAAAGAGAGTCTGATCGATTTTTAAGGATTAATTTCAATCGAAGAGCCATTGCATCGTTTTGGTTAAGTGTTGCGGACAAATTGAAATGACAAATAAATTTTATTGCCTTTTGCAACTACCTACGTGTGTGAGGAAGCTTTATCAGTTCTTATCAATATGATGAAAAAAAAAAATAGGAGAGACTTGTCGTAGAGTCAGCTTACAAGAGTTTTCTTGTCACAAATTGTTCCGAGAATCGATAAATAGTGCAGTGAAAAGCCACCTCATCCATTACATTAATGTCGTTTACATTGTTGAGAAATGTGATACGGCATAGGATGGGGGGTGGGGGGGATGGGGGGGATCCATCAAAACTAAAATTCACAAATATGGGTCCACGGCCCGAAACAAAATTTGGGAAATCCTGCTCTATACTACTGAAACCAACTTTGAATCAAACTTGGAAGGATAATTTGAAGAATTGGAAGATAACAAATTATGCTTACTCTGAAAACTTGAAGACATCAAAAACAAATTTTTCCATCTTGATACCGTTGGGGGTAGAGGGAGTCACTGTTTTACCATCTTTGTTCAAGTAAGGAATTTTTTTCTTCGCTACATGATGATAGAGCTGACTTTCTTGTTCCAGACTGAAACATAAAGTTTGGAAATTATTTGATAGTAATATTTAATAAGATCTGAGTAATTGATACAATACATTCTATTTTAACAAATGGATTGGAAGTTGTCCAAAATAATTTTATAGGAATCAGAGGGAACCTCATTACACTCGACGATGGTTCCTATGTAACCAGGGTTTTTATAGCACCAGGGCTGTGGAAAAATCTACAATTTATTCCAAACTCTAAGTTGGTGGAAATTTCAACTTCGACTACAGCTCTGAATCTAGGAGGAAAACGAATTTTGTAATGAAGAGCATATACAAGCATTCCTCATTTAATTTGTAAAAAATGCTTGTAAACTTTTGTAAAAAAAAAATTGACTCCGACATTTACCATTAAAATTCTGAAATTACAGCTACAATAAAATCAAAATTTCAAACTATGACTCTAGCCCTGACATTGGCAAAGTACGGCCCCACGGCCTAATCCGGCTATTCGTGAATTTCAATCCGGCCTGCCTGATGCTGCCACAACCAAACTAAAACCAAATTTTGATGTTTTAGCAAAAAATAACTCAGGGAATGTTTAGTTTTAGCATGAGGCCTTTCCACTTTTGCTTTTGTAACACTGTAAATATTGTTGATGAAATGTAAGAATTTACGTCAACTCACACAGCCCGCCAGTCTAGGTGGACGAATTTTTTTGCCCCTGGTCCGAAAACCTTGCCCCCCCCCCCCCCTGCTCTAGCTCAACACCAAATTATGCAAAGACTTCATAGTCCTGCTAACTAAATGAGATATCTCAAATTTAACTGTATGATACACTATTTAACATAGTACTTGACATACCTGCAAACATTCTTCAAGAAATCTAGAGTAAAGAAATGATTGCAAATGTTTCCTGCAGAAAACGTGAGCTTCCCGGATTCAGTTCGTAGACGTGCAGTTTCCGATGTTATTTCAGAATATTCTACGACTTGGTAAACATTGTCAACAAGACAAACTACGCCGACCGCTTCGTCGGGATGATTTTTTTCGACAACCTACCAAAATAAAAAATAGAATTTATTCTCAAAAAGTTATTTTCAAATAGCATCCCCTAAACCAGGGCTACTCACTCAACTGGCGGACCTTTCGACCATTTAATTCGGACCGCATCTGCTTGTTTATTTTGGCAGCATTAGCATCGTTTTATAGTTTTAGATGATTTTGATACAATTTAAATATACAGCTATACAGTTTGTCGTACTGGTACCGATGCGCGACATTTGTGTCTATATTTGCAAGCCATTCATTGCTCTTGTATTTAATTTAATATCGCATTCGAAGTTTCGTTTAATTAATGAAATAAATTTTCTGAAATGTCCAGACCCCAGTAATTTTGAAGTTTTCTAAACGGACCTTTGGTGAAAATAGTTGAGTAGCCCTGTCCTAAACCATTTTACCAAATCTTCTACCATTCATCCGCGTATTACACAATTCAGAAAAAAAAATCTGGCAATATTTGAAAATATTATTTTAATATGCATTTAGAATACAATTCAGTATTTTATTCAATTTTTGATCATCTTTGATCTCACCATTAAACTGGTAATACCATGAGGCATTATAAAAAATGTATAAATGAATGTATTCGTTCATTTTATAGGAAAGACCCCAGAAACTGTCGAAAAAAAGCAGTCATATTACCTTAGCACCACAGTCAGCTCCTTTTTCTCTACAGAATCCAACAAATACAGGGTCGGCCATCTTGACCAGAATATTATCCACACAATAAACATGAGTTGCACGAACTCCACGCCTAGACATGTCATCAAGAACGCCATGCTCGCGAAGCGCTCTGTATAGTCCTCCGTTTCCGTCTAAAAAAATACATTTTGTTATTTCTTTCTGAAATTTTATACAACACTTATCATGCTTTTCGCTCTTAATAACAAAGACCTAGATATGTAAGGAGTTACCATTATTTAGAAAAATCGATATCTTTTGGTTTCGGCATTGCTTACCCAATTTTTCACACTCTAGGTGAGAACGGGGTTCGTGGGATTTGAATTCAAAATGTGTAATCTGCAATGGCAACACATTCAAGTTCAACGCACCTCATTTGACCATAATTGTAGGCATGTGTAATGAAGCATAACCTTTCTGAATTTGCCATGTAAAACGCATGGGCGTAGGAAGATACCACAGTTAAAATAACAGAAATTTGGTGAATATGATTCTCCTAACCTACATAAGCTAATATGTCGCACCCATGGTCGAGTCATTCTCCATTAAGGTTTTTATTCTATTTTCACAAATATTGCATCCCAATGTAACAGAGGTTAGTAGTGCTGGTATTTTTTTTCAAATAAAATAAATAAACTAGTAAATAGAATAGAGTACTAACACAATAAATTAACTTATATAGACACACCAAAATTTTATTAAGGTATGCAAAAATAATTCACACCATTTAAATAAAATAAATAACCACCTGGGGCAGTAGCGATCTTGTTCTTAGCAGCAAGAATAATTTTTTTGTTGAAATCAACGCAAGGAAGCGTAAATTGTTCAAACAGAATAACATTGTTTTTATCCAAACCAAAGTAGGAATGTTGCTCAAAAAAATCCAAAGTCTGCTGCTTCGTGGCTTCACTGGTCATTATATACCTGAAAAAAAGATTAAAATCATCAAAAATAACCAATATAGTTCAAATTTTTCCAAATTTCCATTTCCAGAAATACTTACCGGTAGGTATGTGAAGCAAGATGCTAGATGCCGGAATGTAGTATGTGTACCAGATTAGGGTTAGGCCATAATTTTATTCCAATTTTCCTTATTTTAGTTTTATTACAAGTTCGGGGACTAGCCAAGTGATTCTCGTAGTAGGCCTATTTGTACCTGAAATTATAGACTAACCCTAACTTGGTACACATACTATGTTCCGGTGTCTGCCATCTCGGTTCACATACGCACTTTTCCAGAATTCTCACAGAAAACAATCGTGTCTCACCAAGCTATGACTCCTTTTTTGCCAGTCTTTTCAAAAGCCAACTGCTCCAATCGCCGAATCCTTTCAGCCTGAAGTTGGTAAAGAGTTTTGCCAGAAGGGAGTCCTACATTGTACATTCCTTTCGGATACTTCACCCCCAGCCGGGTACCCTGGCCCCCAGCCAGTAAAACGACTGCAATTCGGTCGTGAGAGATTTCCTCGAGACCTAGACAATAAGAATAGGATAGATATTTATCACAGGGGAGAGGAAAGGCGATAAGACGACTCAATAATTATATGGCATACCACGGCCTTTCGTCGGTTACCAGTCCATGTGATTAGTTAGCCAGTTATTTGTTTCAGAAGCATGGACTTGATGGTGAAGAAAGTCATAACCAAAGAAACATTGAAGATTATCAAGCATAGTCAAAGGGATGTGTGTGGCATGCTGAGCTCTTCGTAACCATGGGTATAATGTGTGATGAAAATTTATTTGGATTTACTCCCATCGTTATGCATTGTCGTAGCTTTTTGATGCTTTTCCAGATTGTATTCAACGAGCTCGCTATGCTTCATGATTGCTGATTACCAACCTTGCATGCTACCATACACTGCCGGGCAGTGGCGTGTCAAACTTTTCTGCTACACTGGGTGACTTTCTCCTTAAACCAAACTTCAAAAATGATTTGGGGGATAAACGAACTATAAATGTTGTTATACAAGTAAGATTATTATTTAAATCATCAAACTAAGCAACAAACTGAACCCTATAACGTGCTGCCGGGGACAGCTGCCCCTTTGGTCCCTCTCTAGGCCAGTCACTGCAGCTGAGCCCTATCTTCCAATAACTTACCTAACACTTCCCATCTCTTCGCGTTTTCATCGTTCATGTCGGTTGCACTTCCAAAATGTTCAGAAGGAATGGGTTTCATCTTCTGATCAATGTTATTCGAATGTCCGTTGTTAACTGGAGCAAGCGCCCTGGTCACATACCCTGAGAAATAATTGTTCAATTATTGAGTTTAGAATGCTACAATTAGAAAATGATTACTCTGAATATCTTCAGTTGTACATTTAAAAAAAAATTTTCAAAATTGCGGAAAGGGTGGCCAAAACCAAATAATATGTTGATTTCCAACTGATATTTTTGAAATCTATTCTAAATCGGGTCAGATTTGACAAAGAAATTCTAAAAACATTCTGAATTCATCCAGAGGAATCAACTTCTGTATCATTACTATGAGTTACAACATATTGATTCGCAAAGATATGGCCAACCACTAACTCATTCAGTTGTCATAAATTGATAGGCTTTGCCGCGATAATAAATTATGATTCAGGTTGGTCCAAAAAACAAAAACAGCATGCAGATATGCTTACTCATTTCTTCCCTAATGTGTTTTTATATCTTTTAGGTTCCAGGTTGTTTTAGGTTATATTTGATTTATATTTTGCAACCCACATCACAGAAGAAAGCAGGAAACTTTCAGACTTTAAAAAAAAACTATTATTCTTTTCAAGAGTGAAAACCCGACTTGGGAACTGACAAAAAGTCTAGCTGTGTTACCTCATTTTTTTTTTAGCGACTACCCTATATATACGCATGTATATTCTTTCAAGAGATGTCAAAAACATAATATATTCACCATTCAATTCATTGATATTTATCTTTTTAATATCCTGAGTTAGTTGAGATTGTTCCTTCGCCGATAAATCATTCCAGTAAGTCAGTAAATGATCTTGGTCATAGGACTTCAATGTATCGTAAAGTTCCATCTTTTTAGGGTTAAATATTAATTATTATAAATCTGAAAAAATGAAAACGTTGATGATTTGGGTAACAGATAATTAACTACCGGTACTTCTCTTTTCTATGCCTTTGCCTAAATCAGGTTCGAAAACTATAACCCCACGTTCTCCAGTTTAACTTAAAAATAATGAACAGGAAAAACCAAAAAAAAAAAATTCAGGCTTTACAAAACAAAATAGCAGTTTTATAGTGTTACATCCGACATAAATAAGTTTTATTGCTCAACCTGTACTTCTAATCATCTAATTTATTCCACCTTCTAAAACTGAATTGCATTATACTTTACTATTGTCGTTTTCCTATTTTCCTACCCTGAGGAAAAGTTTATGGTAAACAATGATGAATTACACTTGTCAGATTACTAAATAAGGAATCCAATATATTAAAAAAATTTATTTTATTTTATGTAAACATAAAGAATTCTAAAATTCAGGAAATTATCATAGGATAAATTTGTTGAGAAAGTTACTTCATCGTTGGCCACTATGTTGATTATATAATTACCGATGGTATCTGTGTAGAATGTGTACGAGGTTAGAATTAAGACATAATATTATTCCGATTTTCCTTATTTTAGTTCATTTACGAGTTCGAGGGCCAGCCAAGTGAATATACCCCCCTGCCCATAAGCGTCAGTTCCTTTACACTACTTGATGTAAAGTAGGCGAACAAAATCAGTTACCTCCATATAGGTACACATACATACTTCTGGAGCGCCTATAATTATAGCAAGCTCACATTTTGAGAAAATTTTATTTCAATTAAACAATGAATAATTGCATATATTAAACAAGGTGGGAAAAATTCAAAAATACAGCAAGTTTTACAATATATTGCACCATTAATCTATATGCATTCAATCACTCTTGATATTTTTTTGGTCAATCGTAACCTTGCTCGGGGGGTCAGTCTCTCTAAGTTCCGAGAAAATTTACCTAATTGTTTAAATCGCTTAAATCCCTTTGCTAGTAAACTGAGTCATCTCCAACATACACATAATCTTTTATCACTGTCATGAGCATTTCTTATTTAAATACATACCATTCTTCCAGAAATAAAGCTATAAACTGCTCTTTGAATTTTGAATCTTTGATTAAACTCACTACACATATATACACATAATCTTTCATCAACGAAATTCGAATACACAGGGTATCCACAAGTCCCCTTACAACTTCAATTTTGTTATGAAGTCAGTTCTCAATGTATTTTAACCAGGTTTTTCAATAAGTAATTGTTCAAGTATTTTTACTTCATCTAATATATCTGTGAGGGCCAAAACAATATCGATAAATTCCCTTTGCAATTTCAATACTTTATGGACACGCTTTACATTTGTTTAGCGTTTCTAAATTGTCCATCTATAATATACCAAAAGCAAACTGATAAAGGAATAGGAATCATATAGATTTAGCATATGGGCGTTACCTTTACAGTTCCTTACTAGCGGTCTCTAATATATTGTTATAATTCAAACAAATTATATCGTTATGCCGTAAAACCACAGTTATCTCCCTTTAAACAAACAATTATAGTAATATATGACCACCGGACAACATAGATAATAAAATTTATTTAACTCTCAGGACGAGTTGTGGAATATTTCCATGAAGAGTACCGGCAGTGTTCTAAATACACAAATAAACAATTGAGTTTCCCGATTCCTGGAACTATTTAAGTACATTATTTGGATTATAGATATGAGTAAGTAGGCATAAGGGCGCTTTCCGTAGTATGTGAACCAAGATGGCGGACACCGAAACGTAGTATGTATACCAGGTTAGGGTTACACCATAATTTTATTCCAATTCTTCTTATTTTAGTTCTATTACGAGTTTGGGGACTAGCAAAGTAACTCTCGTAGTATTTGTACCTGAAATTATAGTCTAACCCTAACCTGGTACACATACCAACGTACCGGGGTACTTAACTTTTTTTTATACAAGCGTTCTAAGTTGCTGAACCTTCAGTTATAATCATACACGGATATACAATCATTCATGTGTAAACGAATTTTTATCATTTTCGTAATAGTATTCAAGAAATTTAGAGGTTCAGTTCTTTGGTAATCTTGAGTATTCAATGAATGAATATGCTATATAGGTGTTGTTTTGTCTTACAAACTCCTTTGTACAAAGAGTTTTGTATACTCTACCCTTACCTCTGTTATCACATTCACACCCACTCCTTGCACAACTGTCTGTATAATAAACGACCATATTATACATATCATAATTTATATATATCAAAAAGGGGTGTGTGCCACACATTCGTGTTTTAGGCAAGTATGGTCTTGTGCATACATTCCGTCTTCAGTGTTTATATTTACTACCTCTTTTATATTGCTTTCATGAGAGGAATAAACATACATACATACTTTTTAAACATTACTATACTGTGAGGCTTGAATGACAAAAATTTGAATGAAACTATTTTAAAATAATTCCTGAATGAACAACCATACAATTTGAATCCAGACTATTTAATGTATTAAAAATTAAATTTAATGAAGAAAACACACAAAATCAATTACAAATATAACTACGGTAATACAAAGGCGCTCCAGAAGTATGTGTACCAATATGGAGGTAACTAATTTTGTTCGCCTACTTTACCGGACTGAAACCTATGGACGGGGGGGGGGATATTCAATTTGCTAAAACAGACAGTCTCCGAACTCGTAATAGAACTAAAATAAGGAAAATTAGGATAAAAATTATGGCTTAACCCTAACCTGGTACACATACTATACGGGAGCACCAGTAAAAAGGTTCTGTTTCATTTTGAATAAGCTCTCAGAACAACCCTATCCTCTATTCCTAGCAGTATGAATGACAAAAAAGCAATTAAACAATTCAACAAATCAAGTTTACACCATCGGAGTCACGTAAACGTTGTGTAAATATTGTCAAACAGATAAGAAAATTTGAATTATTATTAATTGAACGATTGCCCTTGGACTTTGAAATTTTAAAATTCATTCAAATAAAGCTAAGAGATTGCGATTCCAATTTTAAAGTAATTGGAACAGAGGTTAAAAATTTGCTGTGGAATATGTCAGCCAGAATTATATATAATTACTATATACTATAGCTCCAAAATTAATATAATAATTAATTTTAATTTTGATAAAATACAAATGTCATACTTTGCTATGAAACTCTAGATTTAAATTAATTATTATAAATTTTGATTTTTATTGATTTAATAGCAAAAATAATAAATTTAACATAAAAATATTATTCATGTATAAGACAAGTGGACTTAATTTAAATTGTCCATAAAGTCTTAAAAGTTATTAAAATCGCAAAAATAATTTATCGATACTATATATTAATTTGGCCCTCACAGATGTATTAAATGAAAGTGAAAATACTTAAACAATTACTGATTAAAAAACAATAAACCTGGTTAAGATGTATCGAGAACTGACTTCGTAACAAAATTGAAATTGTAAATGGACTTTATGAACGCCCAGTATATATATATATAAATAAATTACCTGGATATTTAGTTTGTTAGCTGTAAGTTTTAGCTTCCAAATATTTCAATGTTAAAATAAAGTTGAAATTCGAAACACTGGTAAGCTAACCTATTCGTAAGAACAAATAGATATTTACATGACATCAAAATAAGATTCAAAAAAGAATAATAAAAACCTTGAATTGGAAAAAAGACCTGGATACAATTTTTATCCAATATATTTTTAAATTACCGTATTATTAAAAAATTCAATTATTTAAAAATTCGACTCGATTAGAAAGCCATTACTGCCTAAATAAACAGCACAAGAAGATGATGATTGAAAACTAAACATGACTTAATCCTATTATGAATAACCAATCATGATAACGAGTTTGGCAAAGTCACCACCAAAACAGATTAAACCCTTAATTGTAAATTAAACAAGATTGTCTCAGTAATGCAGACTGCACTCATTGCATGAAGTAACCACTGCAAGAAATATACAGAAAACAACAACGGACATTAATTATTTTTCATGTGACTGACAGTTGGCACAATCATAATGATATGTAATTGTAAATATAATAAAATGCTAGGGAATTTACTTTTTTGTGTATTGTGAAAAATTAAATTTACGCTTATACATCAATCGCCAGCACAACAAATACACTATCCTTCCAGTCTGTGCATACAGATCCACTGAAATACAGGTAGAGGATATTAGTTAGAAGCATGCTGCGCGACCACATAGTCATAAATAATAATATTTCAAATGAATCCCAGATTGGAAAAAATTCATAATTTCACATTTCAAAATCAAATTACGGTACTTCTAATTTAAATTCTTAAAACCTGTTTAGAATGGCAATAACTTCAAAATTACGTTACACTAAATGCTTTGGATATACTTAGTTAAATTATGACCTTGTACGAACTAATAACGCTTCGAAGAAGAAGTTTCTAATCAGACAAAGTGTGTATAGGCTGGGCAAATGTTTGAGCTGTCACCGGGATCGTTCCACAGACGCTGATAACTTCGCGTTTATTAAATATAGTCGGCAAACAATACTTAGAAATCAAGTTGATTTATTCCGTAATGCGTCATTGATATTAATTCCTATTATTAATTAATATACAATAAAATGAAACAAGATAAGGAATATAATATTCTGAATCACGTTCACTCTTTTGTGTGCACTCTTTATTTTTAGTAGGTGGGCATGTACTTGTACACTTTTTAACCTTATTTCAAGTTATGCTTGCCTCCCAGGTATCTCTGCATTTTGTTTGCCTGTTTCCATTTTGTGTTGTTTATGTCAGAAAACCGAAATGAAATGATTGATTGGTCAGTATATATTCTTATCTTAACATAAAAGTATTGGTGCTAAAATTTTTTGCTCAAAGGTGTGGCTCATCGTGCTAAGCGTTAGGAATACGCTCGCCACCGCACCTCTGATATCTCTGCGTGGGTTCGCAGGATGGTTATTTGCGAAAGGATTGCTGGACTCCTCGCCGCCGTAGGGTGGTTCACAT